TCTAAGACCCCACGCGCGGACTTTCAAAGCCAGAAGCAGCTTAGGCCTTTATGGCGTTGTATAGAAGCCTTCCCAACGCGACGGTATCGGCTACAGCTTTGCCGTGTTTCAAACGTGACACTCTGTTACGACAAGGGAAGGGGAGGTTCCATTGTGTCGACGCCGAGGTAGTCGGGGCTTGGAAGTCAGTGGGCCTATTTGAGATTCCACAAAGCCATGGAGACTTTGTAGTGGGTGTTAAACGGTGTCCAGGGCACCACTGCAACACCCCTGGGAAGGAGCTGGCAGATGAGCTAACGAACGCTGGCTCAGAGCTAGAAGAGGGAGGAGCTAAATTCTTAGCCCTCTCTAAGGTAGTCTCAACCAATCAGAGGTCGGGAAACTGGTGACTCATGCTCACTACGGGGCAGCACGACGTTTTTGTCTATCCCAACCTGCAGTCGCTCCACCATCATCCCACCCAACCTTTATCCAGCAGCCTCCCTTCTGCTACGGCCTGGCACCACGCGCGTGACAAACACAGTTACTCTTCTCCCAATCCGACTGAACCTCTGACAACACAGTCAACTCGCAACCGTCATGGCGGCCGCTCTTCCCCGACGCTCCACACGCAATCGCAATGCCAAAGCCCACCCGGTGGGTACCATTTTCAAGCACAAGCCGAAGGCCTCTTCTACCCAACATCGTCATACCCCCAATCGCGACTGGCCTATCACCAAGCTGCTAGGTTTTCGCGAGACCGGGGATGGCGTTGAATATCTGGTCGACTAGGAGGGCCCGTATTTGCCCACCTGGGAACCAATCACGAATGTCTCGGTTATTGATGTTCACGAGTACCACACGGGTCCCCGCGGCTTAGACTCTGTAGAAAAGTATCCGGCCGACCATGGTGATCAGCCTGTTCACCTTGACCAGCTACACAATCAAGTCAAGCGGTCCAAAGTCAGCCCAAGCCGCAGTGCTGGGAACACGGTTGCAATGGGAGGGGGTTCTCGACATTTAGCAATCTGTTGCGACGCCAACGAGAAAAGTCGGAGAGATCCAAGGCCACATGTCCGAATTGTGATTGGGAATTCACCAGAACGAAGTAGTCACTGGCTGACTGGAATCAATAGGCGCTCAATGTCCACCTGCAACACAGCAAGTGCATACAGACGGAACTCATTTGACTTTTGCGCAGCGTGGATGGTGGTGTCTCAGTCCCTTAAAAACCGTCCATCCCCTCTCCGGCTTCGCCGGCAAAGACTGGAGCCCCAGCAGGTAATTGCCGACCCAGAGCATGCCGAGCTCTTGCAGCTGCTCCTCGGTGTCGGTATCTGTCTCCGAAGCCTCTCGCTCGGTTCGCCGTCAGTGTCATACTTGGCGTGTTCTATCTCGCGTCGAAGCCGAACTATCTTGGCGTCGCATGTCTGCTCGGATTAGATAATCATCCGGGCTAGGGCGGCTCGAGCGCCGTTTGCCAGGTTGTTCTCACGCCGAGACGTGAGGACGTCATAGACGTCGCTGAACGCTAGCCTGGCGAGGACATTCGCGGGTGTAAGGGTGGCAAAGGCGTGGTCAGACATTTGACACCGGGAATAATTCTGACCCCTCCGGAACCTATCCTTATAAATACGGCGCTGACCGCAGACTTTGATAGAAGCCAGCGACGATGTTTGGGAGTACCAACAGTTTGGCTGATGCGCGGCTGATGCATGGCTGATGCGTGGCTAATGTAGCATTCGTGGCCAGCATTGGTGGGGCTCAGCGCCAACCAATCGTAGCACACTTATGTCGTTATAGTACGAGCTGAAATTCTGATTCTTTATCTACCTATACTTGCTTTCATGCCTCCAAGCCCGACCAAGAGGCATTGCTTCTAGGAAGCTGATTTCAAAGAGGAGGGATTCGGTACTGGGCGAGGACGTGACCCTCACAACGCTCACAACCACGACGACGATGCCGCTACTCCACGACCGAAGCTACTCCTCGCCGAACAAACCAGATCCGAGTTGCTACACATTTCGAACGCTTCCTGGATACTAGGCACACTGGGTTGGTTAATGACTCATTCGTTCACTACCACCCCAGCCACCTGGTTATGCATGCTCTTGCATGCATGACATAGGCTGTGAGGCAAGTTCACCCCTAAGAATAGGGAATATGCTACTGCTATCGAAGCCATCTCTGCGGGTGGAGAATACATACCAGCCTTTCTAGTTCTAGCAGGCCAGCTCCATATGGCCCAATGGTATCAATAACCTGAACTGCATGGAGATACAGCTATTATCCCTTCTTCTAGCGGCTACTCAAACGATCAAATCAGCTTGGAATGACTAAAACATTTTGAAAAACACATAGTAACAAAGGCCATTAGGACGAAACGGCTCCTTATTCTAGATGGCCATGGTTCACACCATACGATTGAATTTATTCAATATTGCGAAGATCACGGCATCATCCCTTTTGGCATGCCTCCAAACCTGACGCACTTGCTGCAGCCGCTAGACGCGGTAATGGACAACATGTAGGTCGAATCGTGGGCTCCGCAACCGGCTACGCCCATCGAAACGAAGAAGACGAGCGCATACAGCACGGCCGGGCTGCGAGCGCTCGAGAGGATGGAGATCTATTTCGGGACCTTGCTTCCAGATATATTTCAGTCAGTATCAGCTCTTCAAGTATGGGGCAATATCGCCTCCGTGGTTCCCAGCAGGCCAACGATCCACATGCAGCTATATATTATTCATTTCGATCCGCATCTCAGCCCTCGGGGTCAATGGTGCAATCGCTGCTTCTAGGCTGCTTTTATGATCTGGGAACCTATCGTGGCCGAACATGGAGTAAATCAGTCTCAGTGTCTGACAGCAGAAGGTCATCGTACATATAGAACCATTCAGTGGTTTGTTCGGCGAGGAGTAGCTTCGGTCGTGGAGTAGCGGCATCGTCGTTGTGGTTTTGAGCGTTATTTGTTGTCCGTAAATAGACACATATCCAGATTTACATGTTTGTCATTCACAAGCTTGCCGCGGGTCCAGCACGTCAACAGTTGAGCCGTTACCGGATCTTATTACGCGCTCCATGGTTGTGGATGAGGCGGATGTACGTAGAGCGACCTGGTCGCTGGATTACACCACACAGTCACCATGGAGTCACAACAGAAGTGTGAAACCTGTGGAAATCTCATTGTAACCCTTGAGCATCAGACCAGGGCAGCAGACGAAGCCCACACAACAATCAGGACGTGTGCACAATTGCCCCCTCGACGACAGAAAGGTAGACCGTGCCGTGAGCCCGCCTAGAATACCTATCCGGCACGCTGTGGTCCACCGGAAGGCTCTGTCCCGTAGAAAGCCGAATGGAGGCTTGCGTTTCTGTGTCAACTACCGCGAGCTCAATGCTCAGTCAAAAAAGGACCGCTACCCGCTGCCTCTAATCAGCGAAACTTTGGAACGTCTATCTTGCGCTAAGCTATTCACCAAGCTGGAAATCAGGGCGGCTTTTCACCGAATCCGCATGGATCCAGCCTCTGAGGATCTCACGACCTTCCGCACGCGCTTTGGCCAGTACAAGTACAAAGTGCTTCCTTTTGGGTCGTACTGATTCCGCGGCAATTTAAACTCGAGACGTTCTGGGGCCGGACTGGACCTGTTGACAATCGAGTCTACCCGTTGCAGAATAGACTCAGCGGAGTCCGGCCGCCCTTTCGTGAAAGATTGAACAGAGCCAGAAGTTGACGGACGTTCGTCGTTGCTGGCACAGCTCGCTGCTGAAAATACGTCGAGGCCGCTGAAGGACGATGCGACCGATGGAGGGTCGTCGCTGTTGGGTTCGATCGGAGGGTGCATATTGCTGCAGTATCAGACGTGTTGGGGGAGTTGGTGGAGTTGGAAGATGTTGATGTGAAGATGCGGGCGCTGGAGCCTGTGAGGTAGAAGATACAAGGTTGCCAGCGTGGAGGATCAGATCAGTGGAGCGCCTACTAGCGACACTAGCCGCCCACAAGCTCAGACCTCAGTGCCAAGAGAATATCACAGCGGGCTGCCGGCTGCCGGCTTGGCAATCGATTCTCACGACATCTGCCTAATCAAGACGGCGACTTTGTGTGCACGATTAGCAACTTGAACAACCTTGTTTTCATAACTCCTTCACCGGATGCCACATAAGCAGCTTGATAATCAAGACGATCCTGGCGCTTGATCGACGCATACGTCGCAATGAGAGGAATCTGTACTTCGTTCCATTCGAAACCGCCGTCTGCAGGCTCAGCCGTACCGATAGTTTCGCGTTCAAAATCACAAATTCCATCTACGGACATCACCTAGTGCCCACGAGCGAAATGGGTACCTGGCGGGCACGCGCCCATACCTGAGAAACCTGACACCCAAGGAGGACATTGTTGGCCTAAAGATCCAAATGAATACATGTACCTACCTATCTAGGTAGTCTAGGCAGGTACTCACGGGCAGCATGTCACTCGAGAGAGCCTGGGACAGGCAAGGTGACTCCGACTTGGAAACGGAAGGCAAGCCGTAAGCAGTACGTAACTACCTCACCTCCCCAGACAGCACTTTAGTCAAAGTCGTCTTTTTGTAACCGTCATCATGGTTCGTAACGTTAATGCCATTCATAAGGCCGATCTCCTTGATACCGGCGGTTCTGGCTTGCCCATCAGGTCCCATACTCATCCGCGGCTCCCGTATTCTCCCATTCTTGTCGCACTGCTACCGAAGACGGCAGAGGTAGAAGTAGACGTTGTGCGGATGACACGGACGAGGGGACTGAGATGGCAGTAGCGTGGTTCAGCCCGCTGTCACGAAGGCTGTTGGGCCCGTGGATGTCCGTGATGGAAGCAATAATGGAGGCTGCTGTCGTGAAGCCAGCTGTTGATGTGTCGGCAAATGAACCGAGCGCATACTCGTCATAGAAGGGCCGTTAAAGCCGTAGCTGGCCATTATAAAGGATCGAGCACTCGGCTACGCGTGAATGCTTGCGCGTGACGGGGCAGTTTTGCGATGCTTTCACCTGTCGATGGCCGAGACAGACGGCTCGCTCGGCGCCGCGCTTGATATGGATGACGAAGACGAGGGTGGCGGACGGGATTTGGCTGCTATCGTCGCAAGCTTCCTATTCTCCTCGAGGACAACGTCCAACGCTTGTCTGACGCTCTTCAAACGCTCGTTCTTGCCCCAATCGAGGATGTTGTGGACATTGCTGCGAAAGTTTTTGAAGTCATCCGGTCGCGTCAACAGGAAGGCATCAACCCGTTGCATGCGAGATTCCAGTTCGGATTCTTTCCATGACTGTTTACTGTGAGGAAAATTATAGTCCCTAATATTTTGATCTCTTACTGGAGCTCCATTAAGATCTCTTGCCGAAAACTATTGTATTCTTGCTGCAGTCCGGGTGGCAGTGATCAGGAAGCCATCCTTAAGTAGTAAGCGCAGTCGCCTGAGGTTTAAAAAGGTCGCCCCGTTGCGATTTCCGTGTCACAGTCCAAAGAGGGATTTTGGCCGAGCTTAAGAAAAGACAAAAACAAAATGTCCTCTAGCTAAAGATCCAGGGTATTAAGTTGGTCGAGCTATTGCTTTATGTCAAAGTAATTATAGGGCTAAAGGAGCATTATAAAATTTTAAGAAATGGCTCAAGAGGAAGGCGCGATTTAAGGCAGGGAGGGGTCTCGCCCCGCAGTGATCGAGATCCCTCAGCCTTGCCAACGCCTATTGCCCCCCATCCACCATTCTGAAATCATAACTGTTGTGCTTAATGTTGCGGTTGAACTACGTGGGGCCTGTGATTCCTGGGGGAGATCGTCGGCGTTATCTACTACAATCCCATGGAGCTGACAGACTTTCGACCCTTGTGCGAGGTGTCCGTGATCAATAGCATCTTGTATCGCCAGGTGTGTACGTAACTCTATGTCAGTGGCCTGGAGGACAGGGTCCCCATCAGAAGGACTGAAAGCCTTAAAAAAGCACTTGGTCTGCCCATATTGTTGAGAATATGTGTGACCTGGAACAAGCCTTGTGAATGAGTTAGCCTTGCTTTGCCACCGATGAGAGCGCTATCGACAAGCAATTCCACCACCCACAACTCGGTTATAGGCCATGGGGGGCCCGTTTTCTAAACAAGAATCCGCACATCCAATCATTTATTCTGTTGGTAAGGAAAATCTGGTACCAGCTGTCAACGACCGAACTTGTGGGGTTTAAATCGTGCGCCCCTCGCGGCGACAATATTTCGCTTAAGCCACTAATATTATTATTTCAAACCAGTCTGAACAAGAGCTCGCCCTTTGCATACGTCACTGGAAGCGATTGCTTCGGGTCTATGGTTTTCTTGCATTCAATGTGTTAGATACAAGCGATTTTAGATCAATCAGGCTGTCAAGTGTGTTCTGTTGTTGTTCTTGTTTTGCTCTGCTTTTTCAGCGTATAGAGATTGATCATCTGTCTTCTTGGTTCGGAAAGCTAGGAGAGAGTACTGGCAGACTCTAATCAATTCAGCAACTGAGCCAAAGGACCTATACAGAATCGTCTCTTGGCACAAGTTATCAGCAGGATTGCGTTCCCCTCCAATCATCATAGGAGACCAAATATTCGAGTCACAAGAGAGCAAGGCAAATGCATTACGCTCAGCCACGCTTGAACGAAGTACCTCAGACAACGATATCATCGACCCCTGGTCCGCTCAGATCATACAACCCAAGCCACACATCCCCCTTGAATACCACGTCGGACTGGAAGAGGCTGAAGGGTGCACTTTAGGGACAAAGAGCAACTCCCCGGGAATAGATACCCTCACAGTACGGATTCTGAAAGCTTGCTAGCCATTCGTTAGGGAACATATCAGAGCCCTTTTTCAGACCTGTCTACAGATTGGACACCACCCTAAACCATTCAAAGTAGCTGAGATGGTGATGATCCCAAAACCAGGAAAGAAAGACTACTCCAATCCCAGGGCCTACAGACCAATATCGCTACTGTCATGTCTTGGCAAGGGCCTAGAACGACTCATTGCGAAAAGAATTACCTGGTTTGTTGTCAAACTTGGAATTCTAGCTCCACAACATTTTGGAGCTCTACCAAAGCGCTCTGCCACTGACCTGGTAGCTGCACTCATACACGATATTGAGCAGGCCCTTGACCAAGGTTTGAAGGTACTGTGACCGATATAAAAGCTCTCACTTGTGGGCTCCCACAAGGCTCACCAGTCTCTCCAATCCTCTACATGCTGTATACAGAGCCAATCTGTGCCCGACTTGGCATGAAAAGAAGACGCTTTGGATATACAGATGACCTAGCAACACTCTGTATTGGAAAGAACCTTGAAGAAACAGCTACAGAGGCTTCTAAAAATCTTTATTTGCTCAATTAATAGGGACATAATAATGCTATTGAGTTTGACCCTGACAAAACCGAGATCATGCACTTCTCGCAAAAAAAGAACTCAGACAACCCTCCAGTCTGCCACGGGACAATGAACAAAACAGATAAGCATTCCATGCGATGGCTAGGTGTCCTTCTGGATAGAAAACTAAACTTCAAAGTTCATGTTTCTTACTGGGCCAAGAAAACTAGTAAGGTAACAAATCACCTTCGAGGACTATGCTACACAGTCAAGGGACTCCTAGTAAAATCAACCAGGAGGGCTGTGAAAGCTTGTGTTATTCCTATTCTTACACACGGCCTGGAGACCTGGTACCCAGGAATCAAAAAAATCAGGAGCTCAGGTGAGACATCAGCATGTCGCATTAAGGGGCTTCTTAGAACAATAGATGCTGTATTACGAACGGCGATCAGGGCTATCTTGCCAGTCTGAAAAACACACCCTGGACATATCCTATATTTTGAATCACAGATTCCCCCAGCTGGAGTTCTTTCAGAGTCAATAAGACGACGTCACGGCCTCCGACTAGGACGAATAGACCAGAGACACCCACTTGTTGGCAGGCTCCAAATACAAGCCTGCAAGGATCCAACAAGGCTACAAAGAAGCTTCTAGCTAGTCCCTGACTTCCAGAGACCAACACTTACCAGGCCATCATGAAAGAAGCCCCCAGTCCGCAAAAATAAAGACAAAGAAATAGAGCTCTTCAAGCAATGACTACAGGAGAGAAATGTGAACACTGACCTTGTCATCTACTCAGATAGATCATAATTGGTTGACCAAGGTACAACCCGTACTGGATGGGGTTACACCATCAGGAAAGACAACACTACTCAAGAAGTATACCGGGGAAAGGGTAGACTTTTACAAGCAGAAGTAGTAGATGCTGAAGTCTATGGTGCTCTCCAAGGTCTTGTAACAGCCAGGGCAATTAGACACAGAAAATAGCTATATGTCTGCCTGAACAACACGTCAGTGGTAGATGGGCTCAATAGGACTCCACCCGAGACATCACAGAACATTTTTCTACGATTTCAAGAACTTGCCACAGCACACACTCCTGGAGTGACCGTCAAGTGGATTTCTGGACACAGAGATATTGATGGCAATGAAGCTGCCGACACACTAACAAAAAAGGATGCCATGCTAGAAACAGACACAACAAGCCTTCCTATAATCTCTTGGGTCAAAAGAGACCTCAAAAAAAAGGGCAGAATAGAGTTCAACCAATGGTAAAAAGACCAATCAGAACCTAGGTATCAAGAAGTATACTCATATACAGTAACTAAAAGAGACCTTATATCTTTTAAGAGGAGTACTTTACACAGACTTCTAGCGGCCAGATCTGGACATGGCGACTTTGCCAGATATCATGAACGTTTTGGGTATACAGACTCGAATGATCATTACAGTTGTGGTGAGAAGAAAACAGCACAACATATTTTCTTTTGTAAGAGACTGGGGAAAAATCAGCTGCTGCCTAGGTACTCGCCTAGAACAGCTTGTTTACAATATTTCAGAGAGAGGAGCATAGAATAGGCAAAATTCGTGGAGAAGAGCAAATTTTTTTTAATAATCTGTCCCCGATAGATAGCTTTTCTTGAAGGACCAGATGGATGACCCAAAGGTCATACCGCCGCAACAACAGGGATGGAATGCAGATGCGGACTCGAGCTTCTTTCCCACGGTGGATGGTCCAGCCCCCGGCCTCAGTACCGCTACGGACGGCGGTTTCTATGGGGTAAAAGTTGCAGTCCTTCTTGAGTCGGACGCATTGGTCGCAGCGGTTCTGCGCGTTTTCATTCCGTGGTTGGCATCTGATCTTCCTCTTCTGACGGTTTCCTTTATAGATACCTTAACAACTATGCTGGCTCTCAGAGGAAGCAACCTGTTAGCCGGATACGGTCGTCACTTACCACAAGCTATAGATATTCGGCGGTATCCAAATTTATTGCGTTTCTTCTTACCATGGAGATTGAGGGAGTTGGGATCGTTCATCCTCTGTAGCCTCACGTTAAGGGTCGAAAAGGATATCTTGAAGGCTTTGGACAAAAAGTCTCTTCGTTGGGCGAGAGGTACGTGGGTGGCCTGGGTTGGGTAGGACAGCTGTGCTGGAAGTGGTGATGGGTGGGCTTGCTTCGCAAGTCTTACCTCCATGGAGGTAGTTGTCGGTATCGATTAGGCGGACATGCCAAGGCTGTGGTCAAGCAGACCATTCGAGGAGAGTTTATCATCTGTTATCACGCCTTGGATAATGCTGCCTTCAAAGTACGAGATTACTTGCTGTAGCCACTTAACAAGTAGACCAATTTCAAAGTGACCAGCCAAATGCTGGCGCTGGATGGCGTAAGGATAGCATGCAGGCTCATCTGTGCAAACGGCGATATGTTTATCAGGCAGTCCAATCCTCCCAAATAGCTTCAACGTTCAGTACGTGCCAGAGTCACCTTGTGGCTTGCGGTCTTCTAATTATAAAAGATACCACGCCATTTGCCAGGCAGCGTTGATGTATAGTCGGCAAAATACACAAGTTGGTCTGTTAGAGAATACAAAATGGGCCATTCCTCGGGGAGATAAATTTTCAATCCAGGGGTTTTTTGTCTCCTTCTTGAGGCCTCCCGATATGGATGATCGGAAGATGAGCAGAGCCACCTCCTCAGCGAGCGGCTTTCCATAGAGTTTCACTGTACCGGTTCTCGGCCCCACTACCTTGTCGTTAATGGTCACTTCCTGGAGGTTATGATCCTCTGTTCATTTGTCTAGAGCGCTCGTGATCGCGGGTTGGTAGTCGGAGCTATCGGCGGTCAACCCAAGTCGGTGAGTAGTCACAGACACTGGAGGCTGTAGTACTTTTAGAACGCAAACAAATCGTTATGTCTCTACTATTCGATCGAAAGGCTGTGTTCCTTACATCTTCACATAACTTGAAAGCTAGACTGGATAAATTCACTTTCTTTTTGAGCTTCTTGTGCCCAATTTCGATCTTTGTAGGATTCATGACTACATTTTTTGGCCACGTCCGATCATACGGCTGCCCACGATTGTTTGACTCGTGGAGAATGCATATCCAAATAAAGGTCGAAAGCACGTCTATAAATCCATCTGTGCAGCCGCTCCAAATTTGATCTTTTAGAATTAAATATGACTCTTATCCTGATCTGGACCTTTTTAAGAAAATTTATCTTTTAAAAAGCGAGGCCCTTGATTTCTTTTATAACTATAAACGTGTTCTATTACTACCCGTAATACTTTAAACTCCTCGTTTCTACCATCATACCTTACACCATACCTCCGCCTTTCTCTGACCAGCTGCGAACATACGTCAGGGGCGAACCTATCACCTGGAACTGAGAATGGCCAACTCATTGAGAAAGCTTGATCTGATAGGAAGTATCTTTAAGAGTAGTGAATGGTGCAACACTGTAAAGGCTGACGGTTTCCTGCCATTTCTCTGTGGCAGCGATCTCGCGAAGCTCGATAATTATAGACCATGGGTCGTAATAGATAAGACAAAGGAGCCTGTCTACTTGGCTCTAAGCCTGACACACAAGCAGCATATTTATCCGAATGCTATAGATGGCTCCGGTTTACCTCATAAAGATCTCTTCTTTAAATGCCTGAACCGGTACAAATGGTCAAACGAAGAACAAAGAGATATTTTCCTTCACGTCGCCAATATTGAGCTAAACATCAGCCAATATTACACGGAGGATATGCATCGGGCCAATACGGCTTGCATCACGAGGCTTGGCCAAGGGGTCATCAGTAAAGACAAGTTTTTACCTGGACTGGCATTAAGTTTAGGTGATGAGGAAGCGACAGCTGTGCAGGCCATACACTTACATGGTTACTTGTTCTTCATACTGGACGTCTGGGGCAGCACCATAATGTGGCAATTTTATGACCCGGAGGATCAGTCCATTGATTCTTAAACAGTGATAGAAGGAAACATTTAGCTAGAAATAGACAGCATATGATATACCGGCATCAGATTTGAAGTCTTTGGTAGCAAAAACTGTTATTTCAATGCACACGACAGCGATGCCGACGAGATCAAAGGGATCCCCGGCAATCCACAGAACCCCAGTCGCCCAACCACGGACGGTAAGCATGACACCCGACCAACGAAGCGCCGCCGCCCTGCTTAGCTTGAGGGCATTTACGACACGCTCAAGCCACTAGAATCCTGGCACCATTGTTATGATATCTGGTCACCCTGATGGCACACCTGTACATACATATGGGGGCTTCTCCCCCAGAGATCTTCTTCTTCTTCCTTTCAATACCAGACCGCTTTGAAATCTCACAGAATGCCAAATTCTGACCACTTCATATGTGCAGAGGATTGGGATGCTAATGCTTTATCGATTCTGATGTATGTCATTCATGGTCGTCACCGAGGCGTCCCTAGATCGGCGTCCCTGGAGTTGCTTACAAAAATCGCCGTTCTGGTCGATTACTACAAATGCTAAGAAGTAGTCGAATTCGTAGGACAGATGTGGATCGGGAAGTTAAGGCAGCATCTGCCCCAGGATTACTGCAGAGACATTGTCCTATGGCTTCTTATATTGTGGGTGTTCTCTCAAGCTGATCTGTTCGAAACTATGACGAGAATTCCCTGGAAAGTCATCAGAGGACCGCTTTCCATTGGGACTCCCAATCCCGGCTCTTATTGTTGCTAAGTAATTTGAGGAACTATTATTATCTTGCGGCTAACCGCTTTCTAGAAGCTATCGATCGCAAGAGACGAGATCCCATCGAACAGATCCTTACGGGTCTCCATAATCTTCTCTTGTACCTCTGCGATGGTATAGCCGGATGCTCATTCGAATGTTTATCAATTTTACTTGGTGCGCTTACGAAAAAGATGAATACAAAAGGATTATTAGATATCGAGTCGAGAGCATCACTTTCAGATTTCAGTGCTGAGGCGACAATAAAAGCCGTGCTCGAGATTCAGTCTCCTCGCTGGCGCCTTGCGTCAACCAGCTTTCATTAGGTCTCTTGAATATCCTCTTTGAGAGTAGCGTAGGTTCGATCTCCTTACGGTAATGCCTTCAAGTGCAATAATTATTTATAAAGCCTTAACTTAGGTATTGCGTAAGAAATGGACTTAAAGTCCACTAAATGACATATTGAGGGGCTCTAAATCTAGACTTCCCGATCTGTCAACCTTTCAGGGCAGGCGAAGAGCCAATTCGACCTGTTTATGGCGAAAAGGGTACATTCCGGCTCGTTTGCCGCAATGGTCTACTTTAGCCCCTAATGGAGTCATTTTGTGATTCGTAAACCGCCACACTTGTGTTTCAGCGGAGCTAATTACAGTTCAAACGGCTGCTTATAGGCCGGCAGTCTCTGCTGGCTCCCAGAATGCCTGTGTCATCCTGAACGCGCCCGATACAGGCTTTCAAACTGGCCATTTGGTGGGGCATTAAATGATATATGACGTCTGGAGCCCTAGATATGCCCCGTTCAATGACGCGTCTTCGATGCTGTCGATTGGCTATGAATGATAGTTCAGGAAGCAGTGACATGGTGTGATACACACGCATGAGATAGCTGGCTATGATTCACTTACGACCACTCATTTATGTACGTATCAGAAGCTAGGAAATACCAAGCTAGGGCGCCAAGCTCATTTTATATCCTGCTCACGATCCAGTTCCAACCCGTGGTTCAGTTCCTGTTCACGATCCAGTCCCTGTTCATGATCCTGTTTCATCTTCCCTGACTGTTGTCCAACTAAATCCCATGATCCATTGCCACCTCATGCAGATGGCCACCCTGCGAAGCAGAATTCACCTGCCGGGTTTGTGGTCATTGCTGGCAGCCGTTGATGATCCGCTTTCGATTGTCATCACACATGTCACGTAAGAAACTAACTTGGGTACAAACATAACGTCCCGGATGTTACTATATGAGCCAATCCAAGCCCTGTGTTTGCGCTACATGTTATTGGCTTCAAGAGATATTATATTAAGTTGCTAGTCGGATTGTATAGCAGCTGTGTGCTCAAGAACTCCCTAGCTGTGCACGTTAAGTTGTCTTTGTTAAGAATCTATGGCCTCTTTGCCGAAGCCCCGGCATCAAACAGCCCATTCATAATCTTAATACTACCCGGTTTGTCCCCATCCTTGATGTCAACCGAAATACTGTCTTATTCAAGTATTTCAAGTTTTCATATTGTCGCCTGGGCGTCTCGCACCGTCTCTTATAGGCACTGCCACACGTAGCAATAGAAATGCGCCTACCCAAAGAGCTAAGCTGCCAATAAGAGCTGAGGCCGGCAGCATGGTGTATGAAGGGGTTAAAACCGGACAAGGGTAAGTGAGGCTGCAGCCATGGATGGGTGGATGAGATGTTCCACGGCAAGTCCGCTCGTCACTCTCATGGCTTGCCGCGCCGTCATCCTCCGTGTCCGATTCCTCACAAATGAGGTAATCTTTTGGCCTAACCACAGTGATATTGCTCACAGTCTGCCCCCAGCAAAGTGTTTGAGGTGTTTCTCCATGTCGGATTTCCAGACCTAAAGAGAGCGATCGTCTAGACCTTTCGCGTGGCCCGGACAGAGAGACCACGCCTGGGGGCTCCTCTACAATCTTTTGTTGCGCCCCAACCGGCATGCCACATCCTGTATTGGTAGCATGTTACCGATTATGACCACTAATAGCCAATTGCTCTTGGTCGCCTCCCGACTTCTCTTACGTGACACTGGTAATATACAGTCATGCCATAACCAAAAAAAGCTGCACTTACACAGCCGGGCACTGCATAGCCTGCAAATATTCGTTGGCCGAAAATTCAGCCAATTAGACCGCCCGTTCAGTTGTAGCCCCCTTGCCGCTACCCTATAGGAATGCGGGAAGGCCTGCGTATGGACAGCTGGAGGCCGCGGCGAGACCTGATGGGACATCATAAACGAGGAGACAATCCTATCTGTGGTCTCTGGTTCGTCGGGAGAGATTGGCAAAGCCGCCAGTTAAGATGTCCTTCTAAGGAAGGGATGGGTTCCTGCCCACTTTGCAAGCGAGGGCCCTTTGATCGCAAAGCTTTGACAAGACACATCAACCGCCCTCACTTCCATTGCGTATGCGGGCAAGCTGGATTGGAATCCGAGCATCCTGCCCATTGAAGACATTGCAGGCAGCCTCTTCAGGACAGTGCCATCAATGCACAACCTCATCAGTTGGCTAGTTTTCGACAACTCATGGCAGCATACGCCACCAAAACATCGCATGCCATCACGAAATCTCTAGAAATACTGGACGAACTTTCTTGCCAAGCTACTCCCAACTCTCGTAAAAGAACAAATTGAAGCGATGCAGGATGTTCTTCAAGCATGTATTGTTGGGCAGAAAATCACGTCCGTTGAATACTTTCTATGGCACCGAAAACTGCAACAGACACCATCGTCCTTTGTTCTCTGTCTGAAGCAAGAGCAATAGTAACCAAGGAGATGCCCACTTTGGCACTGCTCATTCCCACCGAGCTGAACGACGGCAGCCGACTACCTCTTGACTGGTTCCTGAACTACCATCCGACCCCCGAACCGGCACACCCCCCCAACCGGCACAGCCAAACCCCACAACCACGACCAAAAGTCCCCTTACTCACTTACACGGATTATAGCCCCTTTGGAGGGTGTCTAAACGTTCTTTAGATAATTAGATAGCCCTTTTCTTGGTGTTTAGCTTAATATAAATTATTTAATTGCTGGGCCATCGGCATCAGCATTTAGCAGCCTCCGTGCCCCGCCCTTAAATGCAAATTTGCTGTAGAATTCTCTCCGCGAGCCCCTGTCCCTCATGCGCCACAGCATCCTGAAGCCAGCCACGATGCCTCCGCCCACGTATAGAGAGGATGATGTGGTGGATGCCTACCTAGAGGTCACAGATAATGGCATGTCCGTGAGGAAATCCAGCCAAAAATACGGCGTCCCGGCCAGCACGCTGTCAGCACGCATAAGGGGGAGAGGGACTAAAACAGAAGCTCACACCACTGGGCAGAGAATTTCTCCCGAGCAAGAAAGCAAGGTAGCAGCCTGGATATTGCGCCAGGAGACTTTGGGGCTTGCCCCCTCTCACTCAGCCGTCAGGGAAATTGTGGTAGAACTCCTAAAAAGAAAGGGGGATTTCGCACCACTTGGGAACCACTATATGAACAGCTTTAAACGACGCAACCCTACCATTCAGACTAAAATTGGCAAGCGAATGGAATCTGCTCAGTTTAAGGGGTTTATCCCTAAGTCTGTGAACTGGTTCTTCAATATCTTGGAGGACTATGGCTGGGTGAAGCCAGAAAATACGTACAATGTCGATAAGGGCGGCATCATGTCGGGTTTTGGTAACTCTTTCGAGCGCCATATCCTCACAGTCAACTAGCTATCCTTATAGGCATTGATTCCCTAGTTCTGGGAAGTTCTGAGACAAGGAAAGCTATTCTAAAGAGCCCCCAGGGCCACTCGTGGACATCTTTCATCGAGACCATTTCAGCTACCGGTAGAGTACTCAAATCAGGCTTGATTTTCAAGGGAAAAGATCTCCAAGTGCAGTGGTTCCTCGAGGAATTCCAGAAGATAGCCGACTGGTACTATATAATGTCGGAAAACGGCTGGACCAGTAACGATATTGCCTGCCAGTGGCTTGAGCACGTTTTCATACCACAAGTGGTTGAAATTCGTGGCCAGAAACAGTGGAAACCAGTCCTTTTGATACTAGATGCCCATGGTAGCCATACCTCCGTACGTATACCAATATTTTCTATTTATTTACTAATTGTTTGATTTATTCCGATTTAAACAGCAACTGACTATAGAAAAGGACGAATTTATGATGCGGTGTTATTTTGCCAACATCTTGCTGTGCTTTTTCCCAGCACACACCAGCCACGGAATGCAACCACTGGATAACGGCCCCTATAACGCCCTTAAGTCCTATTACCAGAGATTCCTCACCCAGTTATATTCTCTGACTGATTCTTTCCCTGTTAACAAGATCAACTTTATCCGCAGTTATAGTAAGGCAAGGGACATGGTATTTATGCCAAAAAATATCTGCTCAGGCTTCCGAGTGACAGGATGCTACCCAATTAGCTGCAAAAAGTGACTAGACTATCCAGAAATCCAAGAAGACAAGCGGAAGACCCCCGAGCCGGAAGAACAGGAAGACTCGGAGTTAGAGGACCAACAGACCCCTACCACGAGCCGGCAAATCCGGGATTTCGGGAGGAACCGTTCCCCAGCCACTCGGCTGAAGTTCCGGAAGATCTACCATACCTTTGAGAAACAGGAGACGGAGCTGGCCATAAAAGACCAGAAGATCAGGGCCGTGGAGGCTGAACTGGAGCGGCTACGGCCCAAGAAGAGGAAAAAGATACCAAATCCCAACAAAAAGTTCATGACAATGGTAGAAATACTAGCCCAGGGTGGTGATCCGTTAGTTCTGGTCGTTGTAGAGTCTTCTTCTTCTTCTTCAGAGTCAGAGGTTGTTGAAGACGAGGATGAGGAGGACGAGGAGCTTGCGGACGCTGAAGAGGCTATAGAAGCCCCTGTTGCAGAAGCCCAGATGACTAGATCCGGGCGGTCAATCTGGGCGCCGGCTAGATACGTCGATTGAGCAGCCAAAACACTACAGAATGATAATTTTGCTGATTTTTTTGACCCTATACAGCCTCAAATGCGTGTAAGTGACTAGGGGGGTCTTTTGGTGGTGGTGGCGGGGTTTGGCTGTGCCGGTAGTGGGGGTGTGCCGGTTCGGGGGGTCGGATGGTAACTCGAAACGCAGCCGACCATCGATGTTCACGATTTCAATCTGAAAGTACCTAGTACCGTAATAGTCCAGAGGTCACAGCGCATATTGGGCTTGCGCGGATTGTGACTCCTGTTCTCGTGTCGGGTAAGATCGTAAGGCCGGGAGAATACCGTGCCGCAGGGTTTCCTTGGGCTCGGGTTCATCTGCATGCGGGGGCGCATTGGCTTGACGATGTCCCTCGCGCCTGTGCTTTTGGAGAAGTTCCGGCGTCTCGAAGCGCCGGATGCAACCAGGGTACGTGCAAATGTACGTTTCTTTGTCAGCCGCTGGTCTGCTCGGCTGTTGTGAAAGTACGTTGCTGCTGCCAGCGTCCGAGACACTGGCCACAGGGAAGCCTCGGAGGATGGGCTCGGCTTCTGTGTCCGTACCTACGTCGTCGAGGTCGATTAACAGACTCATGTTGATCCCAGAGGAGAGACCGGATTGATAGATCTCCCACCGACCACCACAATGAGGGCAAAAAGTCTTCTCCTTCTATGTTCACCTCACGGTCAAAACATTCCCTACAGAACCAGTCTCCTAAAGCAACGTTAGTCTCCCTAAGATTGAGACAAGTAACACTGACGGGTGTGATACCACAATCCAGGCGTACAGTTGCGGTCATAACGCTGTCGTGTATACCGCAGCAAGTGCCCTTGACTTGATAGTAGAGATGCCTCAAGTCTTCGCCGTGAGTCGCAGTGGGCGGGGTGCCCTCCACTCCCTTATTGCTCGCAATCCGGCTGGCATCTATAGCCGATTAGTGAAACGGGATGACGCGAAGGGTTTGACCCTAGCTACCTTGCGTAAGCTGTGTAGGCTCTGTTATTGCACTACAAAAGGTGCCACTTCCACCCTTTGACGTCTTATCCGAAGTTTCAGGCACTGGTTGGGCATACTGCATCCTGCTATTAGGCAAGAGTAAGGGCTCGGGAGGTTGCTATAGGTCACGATGAGATTGATGCTCCAGGATTAGTCGTCGCTTATCGTAAATAGATGAGAATAGGCATTCGCGCAAAAGGGAAAGCTAAGTAGATAGCTGAGTAATTGGCACAGGTGCTTGGAAGGGAGGAGTATGGCAAGGGAGGAGTATGGCAGGGGAGGGGTAGTGGATGGAGGAGTAATGGAAGGGAGAGCCCATTCCACAAAACGGTCAGACCCGAGCACCAGACCTTATTTATAAGAAGTAGCAAAGTGGTCTCCTTGTAACCTTATTGTTGAGGGCCAATACACATATGGGTAAACATTGTTGTATTGGAGATGCTTGAGGTGTGTGAGGCTATCTCGGCTTGCTAGCTACATATCTGGGGAGCAGGGCAATGGTGACGTGCTAGTCAAGACGAACCAAATTCCCGAATGCATCATGTATGACTCCAACTGCAACACGGCCGTGGCGGTAAATATGCCTCGTCGGATGGCGCGTGTCAATGCCGTCGAGCGACTATGAAGGATTGGGCGTGTGACGTAGTGATACGCACACACCAGATAAGCTGAGGCTGTGTTGGAACAAGCTGAGTTTCAGGCCGATACGGTGACCGTGTTCAAAGAACAGGACGAGGGCATTGCCCATGCTGAAGGGTGGGCGGTATTGGATCGATGTAGACACGAGATCCGGATTTGGCTTTTGGGCTGAGTGGACAGAGTGGATAGATGCGCTTCTTGAAACTGGATCATGAGCAGAAACGGGATTATTAGCAGCAACTTCTTTTCTCACACAGGTTGACGTCTCTTGACCTTGACTTCAGCCGGATAGCTGATCGTCTAGCCTGGTCGTGTCGGCCGCTGAGGCAGTACTGATGGTTTATTTTAGCACTAGCTTGTGGATATTGTTGGGCAGGACAGAAGAACCCCAATTGTGGAGAAGCAGCGGCATGTGTGACAGCTGGAAGATGCATGAGTCTCCGTCGTGTTCCTACTTGGACTTCTGGATTCATAGACGCTCATGACCAGTCATTCTCAGCCGCCTCTATCCATAGGTCGGCAGTCTCTGCAGGTTTCCTAAATGTCCATGAGTCATCCTGAAAGCGCCTTCGCAGATTTCCAAAGCGGCCATCGATGCCTCGTCCGATGGCACGTCTTCGATGCTCTCGAGGGGCTATGAAGGATAGGTCAAGGGGCAGTGACGTGGCGTAATACACATGTATGGGAAACGCCCTGAATCATTGATGGCCAATCATTCTCAGTCATCATTCGAGTTGCCTTACGGTTCGTCCGCAAGAACCAGAGCATGTAAGAGAAGGCGATGGCCCCTAAGAATGATTTTGTTAACAATGGTAACTTATTGGCACAAAGCCTACCCTCGCCTGTGGTCTGTTTGCGAGTCATCCGGATCGTCAGATTCCAAAATGCGAAGACCTCGGGCATAAAGACTTGGCCGTGCCACAATGAGGCTTATATATCTTCTGAAAATGGTTCTTCAGGCTGACACAGCTGCGAACATTCCATATCATGTCAACGGCCGTATGGCGCAATGGTCAAATGCGCCTGGTTGTGTTCTCGTTTGTGCGGTGGGCGACGAGAACAAGTGGGTTCGAATCCTGCTATGGCCCCCTTCTGACCCGGCTTGTGCGAGTCGATAACCAGCACATGACAGTGGAGAGGCTCCATTATCGCAGAGCCCGATAACCAAGTAGCTTGTCTCCATACCACCCATTCTTGCGAGGTTTTTCCCCTTGTGGTTTCCCTCGCCAGCAGATAACAAACACCTATTTCACTCACTAATGCGACATATATCGAACAGCTACTGGAACGATGTGTACACCAGAGGACTGAGGTTCACTGTGTCGTTTTGTCACTAGACAGGAGGTTTTTCTGACAGAATCATGCTTGGGTATTGACTAAAACCATCTGGACACTCCAGATTGGTACCGCTACAGCGAGGATAGGCTCATGCGCGGATCTGAATGTATCTAGACTGATACCTCTACAACCTTGCGATGCAATGGCTCTGGGAGGCGTGGTTTGCCCTGATGAGGGACTGCACCCACAATAAATACAAACAAACAAATAAACAGACTATGATACAACAGTACGAACTAACAATCGCCAAACAGCAGCAACAGGTAGTGTTAACAAAGCTGGACAAGAAGCTTGGTACAAACATGCTTACTCGTTGGGGTAAGGGTACCATCGAGAGTGCAACACAGTGGATTAGAAAATATCGGTCTAGGAAGTAATGGAAGGTAAGAAATAGCCACGAAATGGCGTGAGGTGGGCCTGGAGCGAGCTGGTAGTCTGGCGCAGAGGTATCCATGACGCTCCCGTCCCCTTGACCAAAAGGTGCCTAATAATGGATTGTGGGCATATCGTCGGCCGAAGCTTATCGCAGGTTAGGTTTGAGGGCTTATAACCTGTTATGTTTATCTTGGCATAAGGCTAACAGAAAATGCGACCGTCCAGCATAGCTTGGAATAGTTCTTGGGGGCCGCCGTCTGTCGTTAAGTGTATAGTCTTGAACGGAGGGTGAACGACAATTCCCTGGCCATCATCCCATGTGCTCCCGAAGTGCTTCTAGTGTCCTTCTTCCTAGAAGTTATCAGAAACCTTTTCATTAGCTTAATCAAGGTTATGATTAATCTTATCGCGCTATATTTGCGTATGCCAATAATTATCGGCTCATGTATTTCTGCGCCTGTAGCAGGGCCAATGGTACCTCCATGAGACAATATCTCTGTCACTTTTCTGAATTTCCCGTTAAGATTGGGAATCTTTTTCCGCTTTTTGGCCGTAGCCGCTCCAATTTAGCCTCCAGAGCCTTGATCTTTCTATCCTTGATCATAACTTCGGTCTCCTTAGCCTCGAACGCGTTCGCTATTTTTCTGTATTCGGGACAGAGAGATCACCCACGTGGTCCCTGGATCTGAATCAACCGTGTTCCTTGAGAGTATGCACCTTAAAAGGTCTGTCGCCTGTTTGGGCTTCAACCTTGTCAGTGAGAACAGTGCCGGTAATGTCGATTGTAAACCTTTCCCCACTGATGACCTTCCTTGGGAATCCATCAACCTTGTAGTGATGCCAGACTGTGTGGGTTTCGAGCTTCTGTGCCTTAAGAATGTCGTCGATCTCTTCTTGGAAGGCCAGGAGCTTAGTCTGAGTTGGCTTGTGCCTTGGGTGTAAGGTAAATCCGGAGGGGCACCGCGTCACCTCTCTAAGCTCCTGGGGATGGAGCTTAAGTCTTTTGTTCAATGTAGAGTTTATCCCATAACGAGGCTCAAGCACTGCAAATTTCTCTATTCGGGGTAGGAAACGCGGGGTAATAGACAGCCAATCACGTAGGCCGCGCGGGGTAGTTTTGGCATTGGAAGCAACCTTAAGATCAGGGCTATCTAGAGAAGTAATTACATTCTAAATAGCTTCAATATCAAGCCGACTCCGTATAAGTGAACATGTGCGAGTTTAGGTGGTGATGGTGGGGTTTGGCTGTACGAGTAGTGGGGGTGTCCGAGTACCAGGTGGGGGATGGTAGTGGTTCTGCGACCTGCGGGTGCGCCCTCCAGATAACACGTTGTTAGGATCCATCCCAGCTTGTGATCGCGGTACTGGAGTCAGCCTATGAGATATAACTCGTTGAGGCGATTCCGATGGTCTAATCTGCGTATTAATTGGGCCAATATCGGACTCAGAATCGCTGAGTGTTGATTGAGGGTCGCCGGCGCCATCATCGGATACGACCGGTGAGACGACCGAAGTAGTGTCTTTTGGTTACGCTGCTTGTCATTTGCATTAGGCAAAACGACTGTGCTGTGGTTGCTGACCAGGTCGATTTTGCAGAGGACGCGTCGGATGGGCTGGAGAAAGCCTTTGGTCGGTTGTGATGAGCTGCTACGGATGGTACCTCTGCGTGTTCGGAATGAGCGTGGTTCTAAATGATGCAAATGGTGGGAAACGAATCAAGATTTGTTCACGTTACGAGGCGACACATTTGTCTTGGCATCTATTAGCAAATATTATATTATATGGAACGCGATCAGGTACCAATACAAAGTGATGATATTATGCAACCTCACAAAGCCACTACAGTATTATGTGAACCTTCGCGAGAGTTCTTGATACCCAAACCGTCTAACGTATTTAAGGTACGACTTCCCCAGATATATTCTAATCACCATGGAAGTTGCAGACGCGGGACCTCAACTCATAAGTTCACATTACTTCGACCTGCCAAAGTCACATGACATCGACCTGACCATTGTGTGGCAACTTCAGCATGCCACAGAGGGTACGATTTTCTATATCTCGAATCCAAAGTGCGTGGCTTTGTGCCTTAATGACTTTATTACAAGCTTAGCGACATATCTGGATCTCAGCAGCCTTGTGCTTGTCGTTGTAATCATCTATATTAACCGGCTACACACTAAGCTAGGGCCATGCACCCATAGCAGTTGTTGTACGAACTTTCGAATATGCTTCGCAGCTCTGATGCTGGCACGAAAGTGGGTTGATGATGAATCGTACCATAACCAGACCTGGGCGAAGTGCATACAAGAGATAGGAAACGGCAACTCGAGCCATATTGCCTGGTTGAGAGTAGAGGACTTGAACCTAATGGAAAAGCAATTCCTTTGCGATATTAAATGGCACTTAAGTATTGAAGAGTTTGACCTCCTCATTGCTCAGCAACTGCTGATAGCATCAGGGCGATATCCTGCCCTGAATTGGGGGCTTCTAGTGCCTTGGGGGTGGTCTCGGGGTTCATTATAACAGCAGCTGCTGCTTGGATCTCCGCTGCCTTCACTACATGCTCGTTCGCGAGGGTCTTTCGTCGGTTTACGGGCCAAAGACCGGCAGCACGCCGTCTAGAACGCACGATAGCCTCTGTGGCTTCTTCACGGGCCTTAGCCAAGCAACTGAGGACTCGTACTTCGTTAATAGGAGCCGAATCGTTTAATTTACCGAGCTGGTTGATGAGGCGGCGTAAGGCGGGAAAAGCGCGAGCTTGTTAAACATGACTCTATCAGGCAAGGAGCTTTGCCGGGATCTACTGCCCACCGAAGTCACCGAGTTCGCCAAGTACATCGACTACACGCGCTTGTTGCGATTTCGGGACAAACCTGACTATGGGTACCTTCGCACCCTTTTCTGTAATCACTTTCAATCTGAGGGTTTCAAATACGACAACGTCTTTGATTAGACTTCCCAACGGTTCCATGAGATCAACAGCGAGATCAGCTAGCTACCTGCATCAATAGCAGTATCAGCCTATACGCGGTAGCAAGGACCAGATTGGCGAGATCCTCACAGTAAAGGATCCGCTTCTGGCTGCTTGCGGAGACGGCGAGTCGAATCTGACTATACAATATGCACGATCCGCGGATGACAATGATCCTGTCACACCCTATTGCTTCCGCCAACCAACATTCTTGCTGCGGTCACAGGTGGCAGATGTTGTCCAATATACAGTCCCATGCCGAGAAACCATGATTCCGATACCCTCTCAGAACTTTTGAAGGCCATTCCCTATTAAGTCAGAGTGACCGCCTTGACCTCGCGTTGTTCGCCAGCAACCCCTGTGATCTGATCAACGGGACACCTTGGATAAGGCAATCCCTCGCGATCACATCGGACCGGTGGCTGGACTTACTCCGGCAATTTTTCAGCAGCTTCTATCCAAACTGCGGAAATATCCTTAAAAAGGAAATACATAGTGGTCTCGAAGTGGAGGAGAGGCAGGCGGAATAGAGCGCTAACGACTCCACATCGGTCGTGAGGCACAGGTACCTTGAAATGCGAGACTTTTTAGCTAGCCGTCTGGTCACTACATGAAGACAGGGGTCCCATCAACAGCAGCGGGTATATTGAACTGTACAGATCTCTTTTGACAGCCGAAATGAATGGATGTACAGCATTCCCGTCCAAATATCAGGCTTGCTGCCTGGAACAAACCCCTCATGCCCTAAAGGGATATCAGCCACCCACCCCCGGAAAATATTGGCATTATCCCGTTCCTAATGCTTGAATTTTATGCTCCTTGCGTATCTTAGTTTGTAACCGTAAGAGATTCCTTGAAAATATAACGAGCGAACAGACTAGCTGCTACTGTTTTGTCGTCATGTACGCGTCCTATCTACCTATAGGCGTTATTTGTGCACTTAAGCGGGTGTGCGTGTATGGGTTCTCTCCACCGTTCACTCTCGCCGCAACCTCTTCCTCGTATCGGAGGGTCACCGTCTCCGGTGAGTCGAGCGCGTCAGCGTCGACGATGATGGGCCTCTGAGGATAGTAATGAGGCTGTCATCCCTTATAAGCTGGCTTCCCGAAAATGTAGTTGACATGATATGTTTGTTTATTTGTTTGTATTTATCGTGGGTGCAGTCCCTCATCAGGGCAAACCACGCCTCCCAGAGCCATTGCATCGCAAGGTTGTAGAGGTATCAGTCTAGATACATTCAGATCCGCGCATGAGCCTATCCTCGCTATAGCGGTACCAATCTGGAGTGTCCAGATGGTTTTAGTCAATACCCAAGCACGATTCTGTCAGAAAAACCTCTTATCTAGTGACAAAATGACACAATGAACCTCAGTCCTCTGGTGTACACATCGTTCCAGTAGCCGTTCGATATATGTCGCATTAGTGGGTGAAATAGGTATTTGTTATCTACTGGCGAGGGAAACCATAAGTAGAAAAATCTCGCAAGAATGGGTGGTATGGAGACAAGCTGCTTGGTTATCGGGCTCTGCGATAATGGGGCCTCTCCACTGTCGTGTGCTGGTTATCGACTCGCACAAGCCGGGTCAGAAGGGGGCCATAGCAGGATTCGAACCCACTTGTTCTCGTCGCCCACCGCACAAACGAATTAGGGTGACATTGACGATAGCCAGCTATTAACAACGTCAGTTTCTGTAGGCTCCGGCTTCACAGATTTTTCTGTGTCAAACTCTATTGAGGTTTGTTGAGCTGCGCCAATATGGGTTGACCGTCTTGCGTCCTGGTTGCGAGCGTCATAGCATCCTCCATTGTCGAGCAAGATGGAAGAAGACGGCGAGGGAGACATCGACCTCTGAAGCCTATTTGGCGCTGGAAGACCGATTTTTCCTGTCCGGGATAACTACAGCTGGTTTTCTGATTCCTCTTTAAGGACTTCGATCAGCTGATCCTGAGCTCGGATGATATCTTGACCAAGCTTTCGCTGTTCTCAGAGATCTTCAACTACGCGAGTCAACTCTCTGATTTTCGCGCTCAACTCATCGTTTTTGCCACGTGTTCTTTGATAGGAAGTTTCTGTCGAGCACCAGAGTTAGGAAATCTCGCGACATGTTGTATTAAAGATCGACTGAGAGACAGTTTCGCCGATTGATCGAGAAGGCAAGCGAACCGTGGTCATTTTGATAACAAATAGTAACTATGGACGATCTACTGGAATAGAGGTTCTGGCACCGAATATTATAATTTTATACCAAGCGTTAAAGTCAGAATCAGACTTCGTTCCATGTCTTCTGACTGAAACTAGTGAGGGGCTGATGCGCCTCTATTCGCACCGCTTTAAAGCCATATTAAGATCCGAGGTTTATTGCCAGTTATGAATTTCTTGATTACCATAAAAAGAGGCCGTTTGAAACTCAACTTGCTATGGGTAGGTGGGGCGAGAGAGTAGAGATAAATTTTATCGTCCGTGTCTCGCTAGACTCTGCAAAGCTTACTCAAGATATCAATGTAGCACATGTACTTTAAAACGTGTTGGATCCATGCGATTCCAGCCTGTAAGCCATCTATATTAGGACCCATATGTATGATTAGATAAGAGATTAGATACCGGATTGTGAGGTCGCTTAGCCAGACCTTCGAGTCCAGCTAGGTCCATGTCTGGAGGCGCTTCATTGCCGAACGATACTCTTCGCATTCGTCGTTGACCCGGTTCGCCGAAAGCCATCAGACTGAATGCTAAGACCTGGCCAACTGCCGTACAACAGCCTGGGTGATCTGGGTGCGCAGCGACTTCAGGGTCAGGCTCTGCCAGGTGATAGTAGAGCTTGGTAGGGCCGGACCACTCTCGCAGGGGCACTTGACCGTGCCATCAGTTCCCTCACCTCAGCCGACTCCGTTGGTGTCGGTTTGGTGTACTCGTGGGGCGTTCCTTCTCGTCCGGACTCTGTAAGAGGCTCTCAGGAATACCTTGGCGATCATAGAAGCTCATAAGCGAAAGCAGGTCAGCTGCAGATGGTGTGGTTAGACGGATGTGGTCGAATGAGATTTGCCACGTGATAATAATCGAGTTTTTGGCCGTGAAAACAACACCATACTCTACTGCATGATGACCGTACACTAGGTACAGGACAACGACAACCACGTCGACGATACATGGTACCTCACCAGGAAGGGATGCACATGTGGGACACATCGGAGTTTCGCGGTTGCCTTCGTTTCCCTCTGAATCCAAATCGTTCCATAGCCTGTTAGCGACAGAGGGATATTCCGCCGAATAGATCACGTTAACTCGCATGGGTCCAACAGGAACCCTGGATATCGAGTCTTACGTATGGCCGACGAAATACGGTCAAGATAATCTTCACACCCAAACTAAAACAGCGATCCTCGCAGCAATCCTCGCATCTGTAACAATTCATTCTAATTACATCAGCCAGATATTCAGCATGCTGTGAGAGCACGGCGGCGCTCTCGGAGGATCTGGTCGACTTGCTGTTGGGGCGTATTCCAAAGCTCGGTAATAGGACGTTACGATCATCTTGATAGACGTGATCGAACAGTATAAGGTGACGTTACTAAGCCATTTGCGTCCCAGGTAGTCGTTGCGTTGCTTGAAGTTGTCATGGGCTATAGCCTGCTTGTGCTTGATCTCTATATGCGATACCATCTCGTCGAGGGAGTCATCTATCCGTAAAAAGTTAGATCTGCCGTCGATGATATAGCTCTTTGTCAGCCGGTTGACCGATTCGGTAGGTGAGGTCGTTCGGACTCCGAAGTTGCAGTATTCCTTCGTATAGCAGTTAGCCCATTCGGTCCGAAAAGGAAGATAGGTGTTCTCCAGATAGGTAACGCAGGCAGGCTGTTCCTCCGCAAATTCGTCGATTAGGCGCTGCCAGGCTTCTTCGAACTCCCTTTCACTCCTTGAGTATACCATGTGCTTCTAGCACGTCAGCATGCCTTTGCAAGTGTGAGGTATAGTGCCGGGTAGCTGCCCCTGGGAAGGGACCTCGTCGAATCGATCAGGGCCAGCAAGATCGCGAAATAACTGTTGATTTTCGCCAACGAGGTCTTTGATAGTAGTAGCAGCAATCCGTTCTTCTACTTCTGCCTCCTCCTCCACGCTCGTGATATCGTTGAGCGTCTTGCCTTTGCCAACCCACTTGAGTCCTAGTTGCGTGATAACGTTCTTGTTGACGTGAAAGATACCCACTTGGAACTGGGCAAAAGGGAACTGTGCCTTAGCAGGGATCCTCATATGCTCGTCGAAATCAGTAATTATGATATCAAGCTTCACGGCGCCAACCATCTCACGGAGTTCATCGAGAGCTGCAAATAGCCAGGCAAACCACGCCTCAGTCTCGCCAGGGACCATGCCGAATGCCATGTTGAATATGGAGCCCGTGGAGGAACGGCCAGTGACGTTAAATAAGGGCCAGTAGTACTGATTAGTTTTGTAGGTATTATCGGCGCTCATAATGTACGGGTGTTGCTTCCACATCTTCTCATTATACGAGTGGGTCGAGACTACCGCCTCAGGGCGATCAGGGTCATCATCTGCCCATTTTACGATGTGAGGGCGGCCTTGCTGGCGGAGACGACGAATAAACGCCTGGGTAGATGTAAAGCCTTGTTTAGCACGCTTCCAGAGCTCTGCAAGAGCGTTGTAGACGTTCTTGAAGCGTGCGGTGGTGCCAGGGTTGTTGGTGTGAGCGGCGGCGAAGATCTGAACGGGGTTGGCAGCCACGGACCGTGATTGTACAGCTACTTGTTGTATAACGGCTTCTCTATCGTGTTTTCGGTGGCTGGAATGTACCGATATATCCAGAGATCGCTCGTGGTTATGGGCAACTGGCAGCTTCGTGTGCTTGTTTCTGAGGAGGCGGAAGGTCCATCTGCGGTCATTTTCCTTTAAAGCAGAGATACTGCCTCCCTAAGGGCAGTTGATCTTTTGCGAGAAGGTCTCCTTGCTTCTAGCTGACGAGGCCTTCGAGCGCTTGCCGCGGTCGCACTCGATCTCGATACGCGTGGGTTTGCCGTCGACTCGGTTGGAGGTCGCGCCCTTGAGTACTCCGAAGCCATGAATCCGCGAAAATGCGAGGAGGTACTGGTAGACCTCATCTTAAGTGGCAGCAGGCGCGCCGCCGTCAACGCCGCCTTCCTTGGGGTCAGAAATGGGCATCGTGAGGGTGTACTGCGTAGAAGGCGATATATTCAGAAGGAGAGTACGTGAGAGTAAATGGATTACGTTCATAGGATAGATTGCAGCAGTAGCCAATGCTCGCTTGAGACTCTGGACGAGATATACCAGACTTTTACCGGCTTCGATGAGCCCCTCGAACCATGGCTGGAGAATACAATCCCTCAACACCCAGACGACCTAGGCGTCTTCTCGCGCCCCTTGGCGCGCTGGAAGGAGTTCCGGAGGTGGCAGCGCGATAACCGTGGGGCAAGTGACAATACGGCAGAAGAGCGGGTGGGGGCTTTCAGGGAGGAGTAGCAGCGCTACTTCGAATCCATTGGGCACGGGTCGATCACGACCGGGCCAGAGTTCGAGGACACCATCCGGAAGATGTGGCAGCAGGAGCAGGATACCGGCCGATAGGAGGGGTTCAGGGAAGTCAAGAACGGAAACTTCACGGACTACGGGAAAGCTGCACGGCACCGTCTGGCTGAGCATGGCTTCCATGAGACCTTTCGACTGCTCAAAGACCCTCGTTGGCAAGATAAGCGGGTGACGTCGATCGAGTACCTCGTGTTCGAATACTGGTGGCTGGATACAAACGCCAAAACTGTCCAGCGTCACAAGCTGTCGCATGACGCTGCCTGGGAAGAGCTTGTGCAATGCGGAGTCCTGAGATCTGGCGAGACGGAAGAGGAGTTGTTGGCATATCTGACTAGCGCACCCGACCGGCAAACCACACCACGAAATAAAGCCATCAAGCACTTTTTACGAATGACAAAGGCGTATCGCGATGCCACGGCAGTCGAGTCTCGCCAATCTCTGCGGGTCCAGTGGGTTTTGAGTCAGATACCAAAAGAGTCTACAGGAATCAAGCCAATCGTGAGGACGGGAAAGCGACGGCTTGAGGAGGATGAGGAGGCCCTGGACGAGGCCGTGGAGCAGCCGCCGGTCGTGAAGAAGCAGAGAACAAAGCCGGAGCAGAAACAGGATAGGGGAGCCTCGAGACGGAAAAGGGCAACAGCTACACGAAAACGGAGCACGAATCAGACGTCGGGGCTATTGACACTGACAAGCTCCTCATGGGAGCTCAGTGAGGGAAAGAGACGCAGCACTCGTATAAAACACGTCAAAGAACGGGGGAAAGGTGTTAATCACCAACCAGCCATCTAGAGAGGGGTTTGCCACTGCGTCCTCTTCTACTCAGGAAGCAATAGGTATTCTCAGTCGAGCCACCGCTGCTTTTTATTGGCGTGCAAAGTACTCCATTGTACTCTTGTGACGGGAGGTTTAGATCGACGTCAGGTCTCTCTAGCAAAAGCCGCACGGTACTGTCTTGACCAGAGCATGCTGCCTGCCAGAGTGGTGTGCCCTCAATGTTGTTGTCAACATCGTTCCGCGCTAGGAAATGCCGTACTACGGTCTCGTGTCCCTTGGCCGCGGCTATTTGGAATGGTGTCCTGTATCCGTCTGATGGGTTGGTATCTTCTTGGGTTAGGAGCAGTTCTGACACTGAATGGTTGCCTCCGGCTATCGCGTGTAACATGGGCGTCCTGCCTTCCGAGTCCGTCATGTTAAGATCAGTGCCGAGCCTCTCCGAAAGTAGTCGTACAATCTCTGTTCCGCCGATGGTTGCTGTGATGCAGATAGGCGTGCACCCGCCATCTCGTTCATTCAGGTCGGTCAGTTCCTTGTAATATACCGTATCGGTACCTCCTAGCCTAGCACGCCTGTATGCCCTTTAGGAGGCTTGTGATCGCTGTCTAGCGGTTTGAACCCCTTTCACAATACATGTTTCAGGTTAGACATATTCTCAACAATGGTTTGCTGTCAGCTCTGTCTGGGAGGCATGGTCGAGCGGCTATGGAGGATTATGCCAGAGGCAGTGATATGGTGTGATACACATGTATGGGATTAAGTGAGGCTGGCTATGAGTCACCCGTGACCACTTATTTACGTACATGTCAGAAGCAAGGAAACACCAAGTTAGGACGCTAAGCCCATTCTCTATCCTGCTTATCACGCATACTAATCATTCTTAACAGTCTTTAAGCCCGCGGCCAAGCCTCTACGCCCAAGGTCTGTGTAAGTTCTGTGATACATGTGCCTGTGGGCATGAGGATCTGTATGGCCAGTGGTGGATGATCGATATAATGCGTCAATGTATTGGCTGCAGTTCTTGGACGCGTTCTTGTTTAGTAGGCTCTTGGGTTGCCGCGCCGGCGCGTTCCACGTGCTTCGAGATGGCGTACAATTGGAGGCGACGGGGGTATTTGGCTGCGCTTGACTCACCGGAGACGGTGACCCTCTGATACGTGGAAGAGGCTGCGGCGAGAGCGAACGGCGGAGACCTTCGTGGGGATATTTCCCACATGGTCTCCTGTCTATGTCGGCATACCCAAAGCCGCAACCGCCCCAGCTGCATGGTGAGTGTTTCTTCCCTGTTAATATTCTTCTCAACGCCACTATTTTGAAATCGGAATTATGATCGGATTGGGTGGTATTGGTCGCCACTTGGTCAGCTGGAGATGTTAAAGCCGTAACCAAACCTCCTAAAGCGCTGTAGCGACAACGCTGACGGATACAAGGTGATTTTGAGAAGGGCAAGAAGGATAATGATCAAAAGCAGCATCATGATACTAAATCCAATTATAGTGAGTTGGGCAAGAAACAGTGCACTGGCTGATAAGTTACAGCAGATTACATGGATAGATACTATCAGTGGTGCGCGCGGACCCGTTGACCCCATCCGAATATCTGGAATCGATCGATCGTCAGCATGCGGATAGCAGGCCCCACCCGTATGTTGAGGTTTGACCGCAAGGTTAGACCTCTGTGAACTAAATCAATAGGTAGCGTCAGTCATCCTCAAGGTCAAGAGACGTCACCCTGTGTGAGAACAGAAGTTCCTGCCAATAATCCCGTTTCTGCTCATGATCTAGTGCCGAGAAGCGCCTTTATCCACTCCATCTACTCAGCCCAAAAGCCAAATCTGGATCTCGTGTCTGCATCGATCCAATACCGCCCACCCTTCAAAATGAGCAATGCCCTCTCCCTGTTCTTCGAACACGGTCAACGTCTCGGCCCCTGGGACGAACAAGCCCATGATTGAGAGGGCCTCTCGGATAACCATACACGACCAACTGGTAGCAGTCAATGCATGAGTCATTAACCAAATTGAAGTGCTCAGGCTGGTAATTACCTCCGCGATATGGCCATATGAAACATTTATGCATACCTAAGTGCCTACGTGTCGACGAGTCCTTCCACTAAGTTCCCCTACATGCTTCAAGTTCTATTATCCTCCGAGCTAGTGTCACGGCGAGCATACTGAGGAGCTGGGACATGGCCTGCAGCAAGCAGCTATTACTCTATTGACGAGAATATCAAGACTAGAGAGGAAAGGAAGAGAGAGAGAGAGAGATAGGTACAGTGGGAGGTTGCCCCTTTGAGGGGATCCTTTGGTCAGATCCTTCCCCTATTGGGAAGTATCCGCTTGTCATGTGGGAAGGTCTGTGCAGGCCGTCACAGCTAGACCAGGCGCGAGACACCATTGATCACGAGCACTACTGGTGCTTGGAGGCCACCATGCTTCTCAGTCATTGGATTGACAAGCGCCCCGCCGTTGACAGGATGTCAGAATTGCCTAGTCTTTGGTGCCCATCTGCGGCTGAAGGCTGGCAGGACCTTGCTGTGTCTCTCAGGAACAAGCTACTAGAAACAGGCATGGGAGCTGCTGAACACTTCCTAGGAGTCCATATTGTCAGAAACCGAGCTGAGAGGACATTATATCTATCTCAACAGACGTATGTGAGAAGGACCGCAGAGGCGTTCAACCATCAGAACACTGGCAAGATGAACGTGCCGATATCTCCTCAAGCAGTGGAACAGATGGAGTCCCTGAACAACGACCTTGAGATCGATGCATGTCCTATTCAGACATACCAGTCCCTGATCGGTTGTGAGAACTTCCCTGCATCATATACAAGACCAGATATTGCATACTCTATGGGTGTTCTCTCGCGATACCTTCACAATCCTGGCTCAGCCCAATATAAGGCCGCTCTGGGCCTACTTCGTTATTTGTGGCACTCTTAAGATCTTGGGATCAAATTTGGAGGTCCCGAATACGTCGGGAAGACCCCCCAAGAGGTTCTTGAGATGATTCCGGATCTGCTGATTGGTTACTGTGATGCCAGCTATGCTGGAAGCATCAAAACTAGCGCCAAGTCCACCTCAGGCCACGTTTGATGGGGGCGCAGTCTCCTGGGCATCCAAGCTGCAGACTGTTGTGGCTCAATCTACTGTGGAATCAGTGTACTACGCACTCTCTGAAGCCGTCAAAGAGGCTGCCTGGCTGCGAGAACTGATGCTGGAACTTGGATTCACTCTGAATGTTATCAACATCCATTCAGACAGTGGTGGAGCTATTCACTTGGCTCAGAACGCTGAATTCCATCGTCGAACTAAGCACATTCGAGTCAGGGAACACTATATTCGTCAGGAGATCTCAGAAGGCCATAGACGGCTCTCTTTTCTTGGAACTAATGAAATGCCTGCAGACGGTCTTAACAAAGCTTTGACAAAGGCAAGGTTCTTCAAGTTTCTGGAGTTGCTAGGACTGGTTCATATAGAGGGGTGATATTCTGATTATGATAATTCCCTCAGTCTGAGAGGGCGTGTTGGATTCTGGGCTACGTTAGCCCATCCATAGTCATCCTTCAGGATCAACATCTCCATCTATGACTCTGTTACATACGTGGCCAATATAAGGCCACGTATCCTTTCCTTTAGTATCTTGGATATATAGGGCCATTCTGGCCGCTCCAGAGTAGCTGGAATTCCTTTCCTTAATAGAACACTTTGAAATCTCACATGTCGTAGCCCAGCTTGGCAGTAAGCCATCCTTGCGGCATATCGTAGACAACCGACGCATCTACCGGGGTCTCGGTCTCCTTAATAACCTTGGCGCCGTTAAACTTGAGCTTGTAAGCCCCCGCCGGCGCGTTGTTTAGCACGTCAACCTTGAAGCCGAATGGGGCGCGCGTGTCGTCGAGGGCATGGCCGTCCACGGCACCACCGCAGCCCTTGATAAGCGAGATGTTGATCCAGCCGTTGCCGTCGGCGTCTATGCTGAACTCGAGCCAGGTGCTGTCACGGCGAGCGTACTGGGAAGCTGGGACATGGCCGGCAGCAAGCAGCTATTACTCTATTGACGAGAATATCAAGACTAGAGAGGAAAGGAAGAGAGAGAGAGATAGATACAGCAGGAGGTTGCCCCTTTAAGGGGATCCTCTGGTCAGATCCTTCCCTTATTGGGAAGTATCGGCTTGTCATGTGGGAAGGTCCGTGCAGGCCGTCACAGCGGGTTTTAGTAGCTCTACCTACCCTTCTAAATCCGCAGAAATTCTAATTAGCTTCAAAGGCATCGACTTTCTGGTTTTAGGTAGTTCTGCTACCAAGAAGGCCTTCCTGAAGAGCCCCTAAAGCCGTAGCTACACCTCCTTCATCGAGGCCATCTCTGCAACTGAAAAAAATCCTCAAACCAAGTATTATCTTCAAGAGGAAGGATCTCTAGGTCCAGTGGTTCATCACGCCTTGAACAGGACACATGACTACCGTCACGACCTAGAGGTGCGAATGCAGCGACCGTTGGACCAGTGTATCTGAGCAAGATGACCCGACAGAACGGAACAGACCGACACTAGTTTTGTGCCTGCCAAATCAGGCTAGAGAATCACACTGCCTGGTTAACCTGAAGAGGAAGGTTGTCGTACCGACGAAAAGAGTTCCAGAATTGGCCGCCACACCCCAGTTGCCGTGTTCATCCAACAAGATGGGAATGACGGGGAGTCGGCAATCAGCTCTGTTCGCCCCTTGACTGAACAGTGAGACGCGCCCGAACTATGGAGCAAGCCATATACCTAAGCAACAGAGCCGGGATACCACACCGTTACAAAGAAATTGATCGGCTGTTTGGAGCACTTGGCCAGCCACTCCTGAATCCTCGCCACACCCTGCATATCTCCCTGCTTGGTGTCGGCCTTGTTCTCGTCGACATAAGTGCGGGTCAGCCAGCCATGGAGCCCCGTCTCGTCAGTCGCCTCAGATAACGAATGAATTCAGGTCGATTGGTCGGCGGTGTTCCTGCCGTATTTGTAGGCTGTAAACTTTGAGGGGATGGCGGTCGTCCACGAACCGCTGGTCATGTTCTCTCTCTCTTCCTTTCCTCTCTAGTCTTGATATTCTCGTTAATAGAGTAATAGCTGCTTGCTGCCGGCCATGTCCCAGCTCCTCAGTACGCTCGCCGTGACAACCCCCTGTACGAAACCGGGGGATCCAAAAGATATCTGTATCCATAGGTCAAAAGTCTTGTGCCTTGTGGTAGCGGTATCCAGAATAAGGACCAGGGTCACGAATGGTGGCTGTTGGTCTGTATTCTCGAAGTTGCTTGATTGAAAGAAGGGATGGGTGGTGTCCCCATCCCAGAAGTAGCTATCATCCCCGTTGGGTAGGAATCTGGTACAAACGGGTACCAGTTGGGCTCCAAGGTACCTTGTACCCTAGTCCGTG